TTAAATAAAAAAATATTATGTTAGAATGTTATGACAAATCAATGCAGTTGCATTACACTGCCTATATATAAAGTTAGAAAATTCTAGTTGCACACAACTAAAAGTGTTTAATTTTTTTTTATGTATTACATATGCCATATCTAATAGCCAATATTAACTGATCAAGTGATAAAATATCTGATGAAGTGATGAAGTGATAAAATAACGTATTCTCAGATGATCAATATACTTATAATACCAGTTAATTCTTTATCTTCTATAAATATTTTTGCTTTTTTTATATAAACTGAAACACTGACCTGATCTTTGATGCTGTATCTAATTATTAAAAAATGAGAAGGCAATCAAGGAAAAAATTTTAGATAAATATTTATATGAAGAAGTAAAAAAATCTCAGAAGCTACAATTTTGCAAAATAAACGTGTATAATGAATGCATTATAATTTTTTATCGTTCATTGAATAAGTTTTAAATCTACAAATTGGTCTTTAGTATTTTAACGCGAAGAATTGTATGTAGTATCAAAATCTTAAAGGATTTATATTAATAAATCCTTTAAGATCAGATACTTTATTTAAATTACAAAAAGAAGTCTACTCGAAGAAGAATATTCTCAAAAAATAAATGTATTTTGCTATTCCAAGTAATATCTATCTATTGTGGGTACTTTAATTATCTTTAAGACTTTACCTTAGGTAAATCTCCGTGACCAGGTTGAACACAAAGCTGGTCCTTATTATATGAAATTTTCTCAGCTGATAATGGGGTTCATTGAATAAGTTTTAAATCTACAAATTGGTCTTTAGTATTTTAACGCGAAGAATTGTATGTAGTAAAAATCTTAAAGGATTTATATTAATAAATCCTTTAAGATCAGATACTTTATTTAAATTACAAAAAGAAGTCTACTCGAAGAAGAATGTTCTCAAAAAATAAATGTATTTTGCTATTCCAAGTAATATCTATCTATTGTGGATACTTTAATTATCTTTAAGACTTTACCTTAGGTAAATCTCCGTGACCAGTTTGAACACAAAGCTGGTCCTTATTATATGAAATTTTCTCAGCTGATAATGGGGTTCGGTCAGTCATCTCGCAGCTACTGGCAGAACCTTTCATTACGTATTTTAAATATTCACATCGAAGCACTAAGCTCATTATGGTATATACCTCACATGTTTAAAATATCATATGATTACAGGTAAATTGAATGCACGGGGTACATAATTGAATTCACATAATATCAATATTTTAAATGTTTTCTTTGTTATTTGTAATCTACATTAATAAACAGTTAAGGTTGCATTCCATGGCTCACCTATAATATGGCCTCGGTGGTCCAGCGGTTTTAGCACGTCGCCTTACTTCCGATAGTCGCGGGTTTTATTATTCGCATATATTTAAAAAAAAGTGTTAATTTTTTTTTAAAAGTTGTTTATTATACCTACATATACAAAGGGTGATGTGTAAATTATCCAGAGTTATTATCATTATTATAATATTTAGTTAACAAGTTCACCTATAGTTTTCCAGAAATATTATATAAATTATTATTAGAAAAATTCGAACAATCTATTTTTAAAAAAATACGGCATTTATTTATGCCTTATTTTTCTGATATTTTTAAACACATAGTTTTATTAAGTAACAAGTTATTCGTTAATTATATGAATAAAAACCTACATTTGTAATTTATATTGATCAAATATTAATGCCATATTTACAATTTATATCACATTTTAGAATATCAGACTGGGCGGGTCCTATTCATACAATCAATCGCTTTACATATTAAAAATACTGAATAAATATACTGTGTACTTTCATCTGAAGCTTTGTATAACGTGGAACTTCCTGTTTTATCAAATTACAATCTTGTATACAATTGAGTCTTATTTCATTAAGTGAATCGACATATTCGGTCAGTGTTAAATAAAGAACAAAGAAAGTATTGTAACAATAGTGATAAAGATTCATATATTATGAATCTTTATATATTTCTATCCTATGAGAAAAGAGTTATTAAATAACTTTAATTGAAACATAATTTAGAATAAAAGTTTTATCTTTATTCTTTGCAGAATATCAATAATATTTACAGTAGGTAAATATGTATTCATAGCATAAATAATAAAGTAGCTGCAGGTTTTACACATTGCGTCCCTACACTATTCTCATATCACATGTTGAATAAGCACTCCGGCTAACTAGAACTTAAACAGAATATTGAAATCTTATAAGTTGTGAGACGGCACGCATTCGGGGCGGTTGCTTCCACAGTGAGTTATTAGCTTTAAACATGTAAGGGTCATGACCTACCAGCTTTTCACTATTTGCATATTCAGCCTTTCCGTACACTGTACAACTTGAAGTGCCTAGTAATAATATTATTTTAAAAATAATTATACTAGATACTCGTTGAAGTACGTCTGCGTGGTTACCTCTGTCCTATTTATTCTGATGCCACCAACTAAATTGCAAGAAACTTTTATATTTTGTGAGTTGATATATGGAAGTGAAATTACTGGTTACTGGGTACTGGGTACTGGTACGAAGATGGGGCTTATTCCAGGATGGCAATGCGTTACAGGTATGCAGGTAGGTGTTACATGCATTACGTTCTAATGTTCATTTTGCTTTTCATGTACGAGAATATAGGTGATGGTTTTCACTTATTACGAGATGGGCCGTCAGCTTATCCTGCTATTTCAATTACTTAAAAATATTATATATTTAAGTAGAACAGGAGAGTAAAAGTTTTCGGGTAATCGCTAAAATATTCAATATTCGGCCGTGTCTAGTTTTTGTATGTACCATTAATTTATATGTATATCCCCTTTTTAATTAGACCATTATTGTAATTTCATCAGAATTACTGTAGTTAATGTAGTATATAATAAGTGGAGAAACTTTAGAACAATTTTCATTCACTAAAGTTGACTTTATTTACTTAATCTTGTGGCGATTATTTTTTAATCTATACCAAAAATATTGTAGATGAAAGTCACATGCAGTTAAAACTAACACTTTATTATTACAACTCTGCAAATTTGTAATATATTATTTTTACTTGAGAATACATACGTGAATTTTTTTTTGCATTTTTAAGACGTTATTCAAATTTAATTTATATCTTGATTATTAGCAGCAATTTATTGTGGAGTGGCCCTTATGACTTGAATTTTACATGTTAATAAGGTCTTGTCATACCAACAAACGTGTAAGGTGAAACGATGGAGTTTCCATAACAAAACAATCACGAAACATTATATTCGTGTACATTTTGGATGAATTATTGCATAATGATATTGTCTAGAATTTAGACCTTCATGATACATTACAAGTACTTTTAAATATCTGTTTTTATTATACCGTTTGTAAAGCTAAATATTAGTCTATAAGAAATAAATGAGTTTGGATTAAATGATAATAATTTAGAACTCGAGGTACATATTTGTATTATTTTTAACTAACGGTGGTGCAATGTTTACAAAGTAAGATTTTATTTAAATTTCTTAGTACTGCTGTATCGAATCTTTATCTAAATTAACATTATAAATATTTTATTTTACATTTGATAATTTCAAAAATACTAAACCGATTTTTATAATGATTACCGTGTAAAATGTGGTATATTTTACTTTTAAAAGATATTAGGAATTTATAGAGCAATTACCATAGTGGGAAGGTACAGGCGAATCTCTAGTAGGTACCTAATGTTTAATCTAAAAAAGTACATTAACATATTCATAATGGAAATAATCATGGTGGTGAACAAAAAACTGAGCCAACCAATTAAAACGCAAGCCCTGACAAGGTCGCAGTATGTTTGCATAATGTGAAAACAATGCGAGTCGACACAAAGAGTGTTATTTCCGGGAATCTAACATCTGTGCCTGTCTTTATCTAGCGACATCTACAGCGACATGCCGTTGGGACGTACCAACTTACAAGGTTATTATTAACCAGCCATTTATATTAGTTTTCTTTTCTATTCCTGAATAGTATTAGATGCTTCAGCTGTTAATAAAGTTATTCATAGTACAAATGGAAAATTTGGTGTATTTATATTATTTTGAGGATTACACGTTGTCTTATTACGGTATATAAAACTTAATAATAATAATAATGAAAGTTTCTAGATCACTATAAATATTTTAGTAAAGTATTCGAAATAATTACCATTATTATACCAAAGTTGTTAAAAAATTGTATGTTAAACTTTATTGATTTTTAATTAACTAAATTTAGATTTTTTTTCTTATTGTATTCATGGTTATACTTTTTAGAATTCTTTCAAAGTGATAAAGCAGTTTTAGTTGTCAAACGTATTGACAATAATGAATTGAAAAAAAAATTACAAGCTATAAAAAAGCAATAGTTTATGATATATTTTATTAATATTTAGCTTACTTACTAACTGAAAAAAATACACTCAATATAATTGAATAAGCGACCAAATAATAAAAACAGTTTATGGAAACGAAAATTAAAATTTAAAACATATGAACGTTGAATATTTTAAATAACGCTCAATACCAGAAGTTTAGGATTCGTCAAATTAGACGTCACTATGACGAAGCACTTTCCTCGTCATTAGAAGACGGGAAGAAAAAAGGCTTCGGATGTTCAGATGTAAGCGCCCGCCAACAAAGCCATTATGACTTATTATGGACACCATCCATCAGCCAGGCATATCGATCCAACATTAATGCATGCTAATGCTTTATAAATAGATATATAATTTGTTTTGTCTCCACCTCGGTATCCAATTGATGGATAGCTGTATTCCTATTTCATCAAAATGTTGGTTTTTATCGAAGGCGTGGCCGCGGTATTCGTTTTTACTTACAAACAAATTGAACTATTATATTATAAAATTTCACGCTGCCAATAAAAAAGGTGTTAATTGAACTATTGAGGTTCTATAAGTGTTAGAATTTTGTTATTGATATAACGCTAATTGTTTGCTAAATATTGTGGAAAAAGTTTGTACTTACTCTGTCCTAGGTGCACTCTCTTCATCCACGGGTATATCTGAGGAGGATTTGCTTGCGTGTTGGATGTTGACTTCGAATTCTTCGTATTATTTGAACTAGAATTATTAGCCTCATTGCTTTCATTGCTTGATGTACTCGAAGCTGGACTGGAGATATTTTGATTTACATTAGCTTTATGCTCTACCGGAGAAGCGATAGGAGTTGTCAGTCCTAATTTGGTGCTGGTAGTAGTTGAATTTTGACCACTAACATTTCCAAATCCTGGAGAAGTTCTCCCCGGCCCCGACGAAGTGGATAAATCCTGAGGAGATGCAACACCCGTCGTGGAAGTCGAATCAGCAAATTTACAACTAGCACCAGCGGCTTGGCTGGGCGGAGTTGACATCAAATTGGGCGATAAGGCTCCAGGACTAGGATTCGAATGATGCATATGACTTGCCGTACTTCCAAGTCTTTGAGGGTGCAATTGGGTGTAATCAATCATTGATTGTGGTTGCATATGTGTGCCAGTTGCGGGTGTTGCATATGGATGTTGAGGGTAGTGATGACTGACTTGTGGTGGCGAGTAGCAGGCATTAGGATAAGCAGATGCTGCTGTATTGGGATTGTAATAATCCGCTCCTGGTGTGGGAAGACCGGGATGACCGGTCTGTTCCACGGGTGTCCCAGTGCGTCCTGGCGCCTGGTTCCCATAGCAAGAGGCTAGGGAATTGACGAACTGGTAGGAGCTCATCCCTGCGTTATAATTTAGGTCGTTCATCGATAACAGAATGCTGTATCCTTTGCTCAAGTTCACTCGGCACTTGTCATCATTCGGATGATCACTGAATAGTGTAGTTGGACATGTTAAGTGCTACCGATGTCCGCGATCCGCTCCAATTGTCCCGTGGAGTGCGTCTTGATTGATGGGCCTGCGATAAAATGAGACACATTAGTTGGTCAAGTGCGTCACCTCGTTATTTGTGATGAATGTTGTAATGGACCTGTAAAGTGCTTCGTTTAAACAGCAGATGATATAGCGCACTACGTTTTTTTATTATTTATAGGTCAATGTAATAAAATAAACGCGTGAGGCTATGTAAGTATATCGTTGCACTTTTGATAATATTAAAGAAATGTTATGTTTCTTTATTAATTAATGACTCAGTACTTAAAGCTCGTGTATGATATATAAATTCTTGCGAATGGTTATCGGCTGTATGATTAATGTAATGCATAATCGATAAGTTTTAATTTAAATGTTCATTTAAACTTATTCACAAAATTAGGATGAAATGAAAACTATGAATTTTAAATACAAACAAATTGTTTTTCGTAACTATGGATTTAACAGCCTACCTAATGTATCTTAATATTATTATAAAATATCTTTTCTATATTTTGTATTATAGTGATTATTTCTGTTATTACAATATAACAAATGGCATGAAAAGTTACTAACATTAAAATAGGTATAAATTGTTAGTAGTTAGTAATTAGTGTGTCTGCCTGTTACGTTTGCTTGTTAGCCTTGACTAATTGTGAAGAAATTTGGCAATACTTAAGCCAAGATAAGAAATAGAAATAGAAATGCTGTTATGTAAAATATATCACTGGGGTAATATCATGCTACATGTTCAATATAATAAGTAGTTTATTTAAGTAGTAATCTTACATAATGCTTAAATAAATTAATATGAGCATGTAGTATTTATATGTACTTATGCATTGCATGTACCTATTTAGTATACTCGTAGGGTCAAACATTTGACAATGCCGCTTTATAAACGCTTTTTATCTAAATTAAGTTGCTATGAGTGGAGCGGGAACACAACTACTATTTTAATTAAAAATCAAATAATAGTAAAAAATGTGTATTTCTCCCAAAACGGCCCACAGCGAAGAAAAAAGTAACAAACGAGAATTAGTCAAAAGTGACATATAAAAAAATAGATATCAAAAATATAAAGTTTATGAAAAGAATGGTAGACAAACTACCAGCAACAGTTGCCTATTGCCCAAAAAAAGTAACGCACTACACCTACTCTTATCTGTTTAGAAATTAATGTAAAGATAATGAAAATAAAAAAATAAATATATTTACATTGTCTATGGCAAATAAGCCAAAATTGTTTATTTTGTCACGTTTCCAATGTATTAGAGGGGGGTCTATTCTAAAACAATAAATTAATACACGGATGCTTCCTAAAGCGGTGTACAAATGTCAAGTCAAGTGTGGAAAAAATTCCGTCCCCGCCACGTGGTAGAGTCATAAAAGTGTCCGCAGAGCTTTATGGGTGTACGCGGTAGGCCAAATCTGACTTGGTCGGATTTATGAACTCCGCTCAGTGCATAAGTCTTTATGAGCAAATTAGCAGTCATTGTGTACTGGATTTATATGTTCCGTTTGCGCAAACGGTGACAAATGTGCGAATTTTTGTCCATCTCTGCATAATGTTGCATTAATGTTATGCTCATATAAATTTATGGTCCTTGTACTGATGCAACGAAAGTCGTGGAGGCATGCATTCGGTTGATTAATAGCGATATGGAAAAAACATTACAATATTGATTTATTAAATAAAATTTAAGTAAATACCTTTTTAAGTATATAATAAATATTACTTAGTTATATTGTTAATTTCTGTAGCACAAATTATTTATACAATTGTATCAAATTACTAGTACCTATGGAGCTATCGCCCAATAGATACTTTTATTTGACTTTTCATTTCTATATAATATAGGAACTATATACTAAGAACATATAATATATAACTATACTGTATATTATTTGCATTTAAAAGTAAGCACCCTGCTTATTTAAATGCATGAATTAAATATTAATGTAATCTAAGTCTTGGTTCCATTAGCAACAAACCAAGATTAACAACATTACATTATTTATAAGTAAAGCTAAATAACCATGTAATACCTTACATTGATTATTATGATTTGTAGTTTAATTATTTAGATTAGTTCAACACATTTGTCACAATTACATTAGATTTTATTACGATTGCCATGTTTTTATTAGATATACCTATTAGAACATGTTTCATTAGCTTAACATTCGTACTTTAAGAAAACTGATATTAATTATTTTATCTATTTATAACCATACTAATACGTCATCATTATAGGGAAAAATTGAATAAATAGGCAACCATACACCCAACAAGTATGGTATCTTCTTTAAATACAGTGTATAATGTAGGGTCAAATTAGACGCAGATTTGGCCTGATTTCAGATTTCTTTTCTTTAGGCACAAGTTGTTCATATAAGAGATAAAAAGAAACAATATATTTCTACAGCTATCCATATCATGCTTATATAATATGTAAGAAATGTATATTAGTAATTTAAAGGCAAGATAATACAAATAGATGAGTATATAAACTACGTCTAAAAGTTGCATCACCTAACTTACAAATAAATTGTGAAGTTTACTTTTGTATGACCATACCATTTGAGGGAACGAAAACCATGTTTCAAAGTGGTATAATAAATACAGATGAACTTAAAAAGTGAATACTACTTGAGGCAGAATGAAAGAACGCGTAAAAACAGATAAACATTAAAGGCGAGTAAGCTGAAATGAAATATTTTAAAATGTGTTCCTATTTCATGAACTTTAATATATAAGGCTATATTACATGTATTTTAATGCTATATTACACAGAACGTTCAACAGTAACTACCTATTACTTAAATAAAAGTTTTACCTAACCCTAGAATCCTTTTTCATTACATGGACCTATTAGTATTCCATGTTTCAGCATGTAACGACCGATATACCACTCGTGTTCCGATAAATTAGAGATCCTTTGAACCTTTTGAACATACCGACTATATTATAGTATAGTATGTTATCATCTTTGACTATGAACCAAATAATTAACATAGTGATTAGTATTAGAGAAACCTAACAAAATTGTCAAAACTACATGTAATCTAAAATAAGGTAATAGGAGGCTTTTAGTCTATTACGGTTGTAATATATTTATAGATTTTGTCAAGCGTACTTGCGTTAAAAGATTTAGAAAGCAATACGAACCTGCCATAATTCAGTTTAATCGGGTTTATATATATTTTAATGATTAGCTCTTGAATATGCAGTTTCATGCATTGTACTTACTATTTTAAATAATAAAAATACATATTTCATCATAATATTACTGTATAGTAATAATTGAGGAAGCTTATATTCTCACTAAACGATATTACAAAAGAACTCACAATTATACCGATTCCACATCGTTAACGATTACTTAATCATTGTAATATCTGAAAATATCTATCTCTGGCTGAAATATATAAAAATATTTTTTAGTATTCATATAAATAAGTCGATAAATCCTAGCTGCACGTTATTGTCACGTTACAATGCGCAATAAATAAACTTAAATTAGATGCCGAAGAAAAGTTCCGTGTTCCAAGTTTGTTTGGGCCGATTATTTATTTGCGTACACATACAGAATTAGACTTTAATATCAACACACTCAATCTTAATTTATAATTGACTAAAAAATAGGTAGCAATCTAAAAGAAGCTTCAATCGATTGTAAATAGTATGAATGAATGAAGTACCTATTGTGTTTTTGGATTAGGTTCGAAATCAAAATTAGGGAACAAGTATTTTAGTGAAGATAATCTTAATAATCTATTTAATATCTTTTCCAGTTATATATAAAGTTTAGTAGGCAAATATGTACTAATCTAAACATTAACTTAATCCTAGTATTGCATTTTAAAAGTAATCTGTATTTATATTACAAATAGGTAAGGTTTGCTAGTTTGCTTGTTTTGGGTAATCTTCAGCAGCAATGATATGCAACGCGTGAAGCGTGCTTAGAAGTGGAGAGCAATGAAAAATGAAATTCTGGGAAAATATAACGCTGATTAAGTCAGCTAGTAATCAATAATTCTACTTTATATTCTGTGTTTAAATAAAGAAATATACACACTATAATTTTAAAATAAACTAATTAATAAGTAAGTGAGTATATTTCTTTATTTAAACATAAAATATAGAGTAAATCCTACTCACGTAGAGTAAATCCACTACACATTTACTTATTAATTAAGTCGATTAGTTTATTTTAACATTATAGTTTAAATAAACGAATGATCTTTCATTGTTTCTTTAGAGTAGGTATATCCCTGACGAGTGCCCACATCTGTTCGCTTTATTTCAGCTTACAATTTTTGTCACTCCCGTCCGGTACACATTAAATGGGCCGAGCGATTTCATTGCTTTTTTTTAGTTTTCATTTTTTTATTTTATTTCAGTCAACGTTGTTTATTCCCAGACATCCTTTGATGAGGGGACACGTTTTGGATGACTGTTTTAATTATAATTCAGTTGTTCGATAGCTTTTATTGTCTTGTTTAATTTAGAATATTGCATCGTTCCATTTTAAGTTGGATCTCTATATAAGTAAAGATATATAGAGAATGATTAAGAACAGTTATTTTGTTTAGAATGCGATGATATTATATTATACCTACCTTCATTTGATATATATATAATTGTACGTAATTAATTTAATTTATTACAATATAGAATAAATTTTATTATCGGTACCAACTACTTTTTATACTACTACTTTTTAACAGGCTTTTTATTTTATAAACCGTCTATTTTACTAAACATTGTATTTTATATTATATCCATAAAATAGGATTAAATGATGAATAATGACAATTATTTTTTATACAGATCGATTAAGTAATTACGTGAAATTAGCAACATTAGAGTTGAACTCTTAATAACAATTTTAAGCAATTAATTTTGATTATTTTTTATCGTTGCCAAAGTATTTAATTATATACAAAAACTAATTTAATCCGGTAACACTTATATCTTATGACTATATAATATAAATATTATAAATGTAATAATTTAGTTTCACATTTCTTATAATTATATGATAATAAAGCAGATTACAATTAAGATCACGTGGCAGATTCTTGGTTTACATTCAATTTGCTTCCAAATCGTTAATGGACACTTAATAATTTTAATAGCCTTTGATACGGAAAGCTCAATAGCTATAATAACTTTTAATGCGCCGTGTCAAGTGGACAGTTTGAATCCACAGCAGGCCGGAGATTTACTGCGACACGCTTTGATATTACGACATTGCGCCTTTTCAATAATAACTATGTAAATAGGCGATAATTTTCAAAACATTATTCTTAGTGTATAATAGTTTACATACCTATTCACTTATATTATTTTAATAATATCTGCAATTAAGTATACTAATATACACAAAAGTTTAAAAGAAATAAAAACGACCTATACTTACTTAGTATTTAATTTAGAACCAAAACTGCGTCAACAGCAGCTTTACTATAAATCACAATCAAGACGGTCGGAGACAAATCACAAACATCCCACAAGTTTATGTTTTCCAACCACTTTTCACAAATACCAATTTATCAAAAAAAAAAAGAAACATTAACGAAACATGAACTTTTATAAAATTTATATTTAAAACGTTACTCTGTGGTCCATACAATTAAGAACTACCTACTATTGTTAAAAAAAGTAACTTTCGAAATTCGAATGCGACCGTAATCCGAATTCGAAACTTCGGTGTAACGTCGCGGAGGAAAACGACTCGTGTTTTCCCGGCGTTCGAGCGTCGAGTGCAGCGCGCGTCTGACGATTAGGTGAGCGGTTGGGCTGATGCGGAGCGAGCGGAGCAGGCGGGGCGCGCGCGGGGCGGACTCCACCTGGGCCGCCTCGCCACGTGTGCGCGCCCGCGCCCGCGCCCGCTACCTCCACGAGCAGAGCGGATGGCGTATTCGATTAGCGTAATTAGGGTACACCGTCGCAACACCACGTATCCGATTTCAATGGACCGATTGATGATTATGGATGGTAAACGATTGGTCGTATTTTGTTGTCGATTTTTTGTTTTAGTTCTGAAATTGTTATTGGTCCATTTTTCTTTTCAATCTCATGTTAGTATTCTTCGTTTTGTTGTATGTAATAGTCCAATTAGCGAGTGATATTTATGTATTTGTGAGTAATTGCTAAGTACATAGGAGGTTGTTTAATTTTTATTATGAAGAGCTTTCGTAGCACTTCGTAGACGGTAGGTGAACATTTCAGTAAATGTTTTAGTTTCTCGAAATATTTAAATTATTTATTCAATATTTGTTGACATAAGTATATTTATTATAAATTGTTTCTATAAATTTATTAAATTATACTATTATTATATGCTTTATTTTTAGTTTTATTATAAGTACCTATGTTACAGTATTATAAAATATATTTACCGATACTTAGGTACCTACTCTTTAAAATGTGCCAGTACTTGACTGAAATATTGATATCCTCATAATTATTACATTATAAGCAGATATTTGGAAATCTATTATTTTATTTATCTAAGTTACTCTTCAAATATATCTCATATGATGTAATATTCTTTATAAATAAATAATATTTCCGCTTTTGAATATATTTATTTCATGAAAAATAACAAAAAAAATATATGGTATTGTTTATTTTTCTAAGTAGAAGTCATTTTATTTAATTAAATACTTGAAACATATATTGATTTTATTAAAAATAGCCTTCAATCGTAAAATTAGCAATGCAATAAAATGCGGGATATAGGAATACACGAGTTATAATTCTTGATACGGCGCACTTAGTTCAAGTCTTGTGGAGCGGACATTTGCAATGCATCAGTGTGACGTGACATATCCCGTGGGGAGTAAAAATTACCTCACATATGAATAATATTCATAGATTATCTGAACATATTACGTGAAACGGTTGAGGATAACGATGCAATGTATGTTGTTGCAATGTAACATCACTAGTAATTAATATCTATTGATTACTTTTCTTAATGTATTAGTAATTCGATGTAGTTAATTATCAATGTATCTATAGATGCAGGTAAAGTACGTGATATTTTCGTCTTCTTCTTTCTTTCTTTTATAGAAATCGGTCGTTATTTTTACGACCATTTATGCCAGCGGAGTAAGTATCGGAGTAATACACTGGATACAGAAAGTATATCTAAAACACTAAGTAAAAGTAAGTCTAGTCTATCTAGTGTAGAAACTGGAAAGGACAACACAAATTCTGTTAGTAATTAGTAACATAGCATAACATATTTCGATAGTTTTGATATTTTTAATTCAAATCAGTTTAACGTGACATATCTCGTAGGGAGTAAATATTACCTCACATAAGAATAATACCTATTTATGTATTATATATACATATTACATGAAACGGTTAAGGAATGTAACATTACTAGTAATTAATAGCTATTGATTATTTTTCTTGGTGTATATAGAGGTGATAATACCTAATGATATGTGATATTTTTACCAGACGTAAACTGTCAAGGATTATAGGTATTTCTTAAACAGGAAATGTGTATTTCCGTGCTGGTTGTATTTGTACAAATATTTTCCAAAGCAACCTTACTTTATTTACGCTTGTTTGAAATATGGTTTCTATAGTGTATATAGATTCTATTTAAAATGGATATTTCAGATTTTATTCAATATTGTATTAAAGTGGATTGTACCTATATTAAGATGAGATTTACGGTTTTTAAATCTTCATATCTTACTATATACTTCATACTGTATATTGTTACAGTAAAATATCTGTAGATTTAAAAATTTATTCATAAATAGATAAATGTTTAATTTTTATAACATTTCAGTACATAATTCACGAGGATAGCTAAAGTTGTATAGATATAGGTCCTTGTTTAAAACTAATCTATATAAAAAGATTAAGTCAATAATTTTTGTAGATGTAATAGGTAGCATCATACATATATAAATATTAGATTAAAATACACATACATTTCATTAGTAAATATTTTTTTACTTTATTGGCATTTTGACATATTTGACTGGCATTTGATTTGACCAGACTAGGTATCTGGGATATAAGTTATATAGAGGTATATATACTTATTTAATTCATATACTAATATTATATTGATATATGAGAATTAAATAAAAATAAGATGCATTATATATTTAGAATATAATATAATGTAATTGTAATGACTAGTTTATAAACAGTGTTAATGGAACTAAGCAATTGTTATCAGCAGATCTTCATTTTAAATCAAATATAATGTTGAACATTCGTCTTGAGCGCACTGCGAGCTTTAATTATAATTAAGTGCTAATTATTACGTACATCACTAAATGAGGAGCTGTGAGTGCATTGGAGTAGTTGTATTAATTTGTTTGTATTTTTTTGTTCGTTATTATTACAAATACCTACTACATGTTGACAGATGACTATGTAATTATTATAAATGACTACTTACCTACCTCATGGGAAGTAGTTGTGTACTTATAAGGAGAGTTTTTTATTCCATTGGATACTTGTCTCATTTTCACGAATAAAATTAATGGATTATATTTTAATTTTTAAACAAATTAATGTACTGTGCTTAACATTTTAATTAGAGTGTCTTAAAATTACATTTATTTATTTCAATTTGAAAACCATTATCGTTTATTTATGTTGCGAAATAATGTAAAATTATATGGGTTTTTTTTATTTTAAATTTGTTTAATTTTAACACTAAGAAATAATGAATAAAAATGTTTTAGGTTATAAATAGATAGGTATACCTAACTTTATATCGAAATTATAGTATGACTACTACTAATAGTGATTTATGCCAATTAAGTATTATTTGTATATTGTTATATCCGTAATTCTGCTTATGTCTAAGTATAGGTAGGTAACTATTATAGTTAGTTATCATTTAGATCATCGTGTAGCATTCGGGATTAAACCCTGGCTATATTTAGGATGACTGTGTAGAGGTTAATCTGGTCAGTACACGAACTTGTGTACGAGTAAGTAGGTAAAAACTGTGAAGACTTAAACGTTACTGTAGGTATTACTAAGTTGCCAACTAAGTAAAAATATTAAAGTAAACAAAATTAACAAAAAAAACTCGTAATAAATAAAAGACACATTTGGTCACATTTTATCACCTTGCACTTTATTTATTTACTAATAACAAAAGTTATCCCAAAGATTGGACGTTTGTCCCAAATGACACGTTCCCTATCCCATGGGCTACAAGAATTTATTACAAGTTAATAATCAGCCGGTCACGCGACAATATACATGCTGCAACATAAATCAACAAACTCACCTCCACTCACTATCAAAATTTACGACTTAAGGGCGACTCCATGCCCTCTCTCTCAAATGCAATACACGAGAAAGGGAAGCAGCACTGATGTGTTTATTTAAAAGTCATTTATTGGAATTTAATTATTTCGGTGGTAAGCAACGTGTTCTTTTTTCACAAATAAGATTTATTGTCGTCTTTACATTCATTTTTTAATTTCGAATTATGTTGTTAATATGCCGAATTGGAAATATTCTGATTAGGAAATTAATTCTAACATGATAGTGTAGAATATTCAAGCAAGTGTTCATGAATTTCGTATCTCTATATTAATGGACAGTGATTAAATTTTAATATAGAGGTGAGTGAATGATTAATTCTTTAAAGATAAATTATAGGTATAAATAATTGCAAAAGGAAGCATTTTGATAACTTAGAAGACTTTAATATCTCTATTAAAAATCTACATTTACGAAAATGTCAAAATATAACAAAATATTTATAGATCGAGTGATTAATTTTATAAAATATCTACTACATGTAGAGAAGTAGCTATATCCTTTTCCTTTATCCACGTGTATTAGGATATTGGTAATGGTACCTAAGTATATTCTTATTTGCAAATTATTACATATTTAGTAGGTGTTAGTTTACATTACAAGAATATTAATGTCTTAGTCATTTGGATCTTTCATCATTTACATGTAGAGCTATATATACTTAATGCTTACTTAGTATCCACCAGTCAATTTAGTAATATCTTAGTAAATAAAATATTCCTAACTACCTCAAAAAGAAGTAATAATAATATACTGTCTATATTATGAGTAATGCGAATTATACATTAAGCAAGTATTTAAACATTTTGTAGTAACAGTGTTTCAGAGCGACATTTTTGATGACTCCAAATACCTATTTTACATATTATTAATGACTTCATTCACTTTATATTAATGCTTATAATTCTACTTATTACGTGATAAATAAACATCTTATTGGTAATATTTATTTTCATGAATTTAGACGATACTTAATGAAATTAAATAAATGTAGAGTTTTATCTATAATATGTTAATAATATAATTTCTTTCTTAAATAGGTACAGTCCAGTAAGCTAATCTAAGTAGATAAATGATACTCATAGATAATCTATACCTACTAAAATTATAAATGCAAAACTGTGCCTGTCTTTTGAAGACTAAATGGTTGAATGAATCTTAATTAAGTTTAATATGAAATTATATGGTCTCTATTATTTTAAAAAGCAGATAGAGTCAGTAGAGACTAGCTGAATAGTCATATCTATGATATTGATTAGACTATGTATACAATACATTTGTCTCTATATAATACATAGAGTTGGTATATAGATTTCTTTATTGGCTTAATAGACAAAAGTTACGATAAATTAAGTATTTTTTAAACATATCTATTTTCTATGAAATCCTTATCAATTATTTCGACGATGCATTTCTTCTGACCATCAATGTAATTTTGTTCAATAT